CGTAAATTTTGATATTAAGAAATGACCAAGGATTCTTCCACTCCTGAAACGAGTTGATTTGCGGATAACTAAAAAATTCTTAAGCTAAAGGGCATTTTAATTTTTTTCCAACCCTTTCAATAAATGTGATCACCAAGATGCAGAACTCTTTTTTTCAGGAATTGATTTGTTCTGTTGTTTTCTCAATTTCTGATTTTTTCCCTTTAAATTAAATTTGAGGTTTCCTTTTTTGGAAAAAAAAAAAAAAAGAAAATAAACCCTAGACAGACTTCATTTTAAGTAGAAAAGGAAGCTCTGGGGAAGGAGGGCCTTGGGCTCTGGCCAGCAGCTTTTCTAGGTGCTGTTCTTTGTGCTCCAGTGAGAGACCCTGTGTGACTGTCCTCCACAATCATGTTAATTCTATCAGTAGTTTCATTTAAAAAAATCACCTTATCAAAGGAGCTGAGAAATACCTTTCTTTTTGCTTCCCATTCTATCTGAAGGACTCTTACTTATACTTTATTTCAGATAGTTCCTCCTTTTTTTTATTTTTGCATCAACTTCACAGCTTTCTGACTTTGTCCTTCTAGGCAGAACTGGTCATTTCCTCCTTAGGGATACCAGTAAGCCTAGAATCCATTGCTGACCTAAAATTTGTCTTTCCTCTGAGACGGTGAGTGGGACTGGTTATTTCTCTCTTGATATATCTTCTGTCTAACACTGGGCCTTATATAGGGGAGGTGTTCTATAAACATCCATTGAGTAAAAGGAAATCCAAGCTCACACCAGAATATAATATTTGTTCTTTTTAAGACAACTTTTATTGTTTTCTTCTAGTAATAATACTATCCAACCATTGTAAAAAATTCAGAAAAGATACCCAAGTTTGAATGGTCTGGTTTTCAAAAGCCTATGAGTACCAATTGAATCTCTATCTTTTTATGCCTTACTTCTAAGGTCCTCGTAGACTCCTTTTCTTCTACCATTAGGAATTCCCTAAAGGGTATATTCTGTGTTTCAGAATAGGCCTGTTGTTGTGTGTTGCCATGGCGAACAGAGATAGGACTCCAATAACCAAGCCAGAACTCAGCTGTTGTCACTGACAGCTTCACGGAAATGCTGCTTCAGGTTGGAACCCTGTTCCCAAGCTGCAGCCTCCAGGATGTCTTGGTGGGAGGAAGGCCAGCACTTGATTTCTCCCTCTCGGTACTGGACATGCTGCCACATCATGCAATGCAGTTGAGAGGGCGGGTAGTTTACCGTGGCATCCCGCGACTGGTTGGTAAGGATATGACATGCATCACACGCGTAGTGAAGAGGTACCATTGTTATATCCCCTTGAAGAATCTGCTTTGTCATTTTAAAGCCCTACATTCCTTCTCTAATGGTGAATTATTTCTCCAGGGCACTATTGTCTGCTCTTTCCAATTACGCTACTCTGAACTCTTCACCATCTCCAGGCATAGATCTATCTCTGTAAGTCTGAATCTCAATAGTGCATAGAACTCAAATTTATACTCCAGATGGTTCCTTAGTCCCCACGTAATAATGCAGAATGGTCCTTTCCCTTTTCCTTCCTTTCTTTCTTTCTCTTTTTTCTTTCTTTCTTTTTTCTTTCTTTTCTTTCTCTTTCTTCTTTCTTTCTTTCTTTCTTTCTTTCTCTCTCTCTCTCTCTCTCTCTCTCTCTTTCTTTCTGAAAGACCGGAAGGGGGGGGCGGTGGCAGAGAGAGAGGGAGAGAATCTTAAGCAGTTTCCACGATCTCACGACCCTGAGCCGAAGTCAAGAGTTGGAAGCTTAACTGACTGAGCCACCCAGGTGCCTAAAGAATTGTCCTTTTTTAACAGAATAAAAAATTAAAAAAAAAAAATGAACACTCAGTGAATATACTGTTTTTCCTAATTTGTATCATTAGCACTAGCTCTATTATTCTAAATCATAATAAATGGTTTACCTATATAAAAGATATTGTTCGTAGTTGGTTTTTCTCATTATAAAAACACCTCTGAAGTGCAGTCTGTTGGGTTAGCGAGTCCTGACAGCCGATGCATGCTTTGCTCTTTGAGGAACCGGTTCAAGGTATGCTTTCCCCGGTGTATTATGTTCAACTGAGTTTATGTAACTCATATAGAGAAAAGTGAATTTACTTTTTCTCCTGGAAAGCTTGAGTTTTATTTTGCCTGGAGATATATCTGATGTTATTCTGTTGCTTTACTTGTGTAGACACAACCTGTGTGTTTCTTGCAATCGGTGTTTCATGAATAACACCCAGTTACAGGAAAATGAAACCCATCTTTAACAACAATCATAAATACTGGATATACTTGCATGGTAGATTCAGATAATATATTTTTTCATGGCTCACGATATCTTTTAATGAGTTGTAGGGACTGGGACTGCAAGGCCTTTTATTACTTACTTACTTACTTATTTATTTATTTATTTAAAGATTTTATTTATTTATTTGAGAGAGAGAGAATGAAAGACAGAGAGCATGAGAGGGGTTAGGGTCAGAGGGAGAAGCAGACTCCCCCCTGAGCAGGGAGCCTGATGCGGGACTCAATCCCGGGACTCCAGGATCGTGACCTGAGCCGAAGGCAGTCGCTTAACCAACTGAGCCACCCAGGCGCCCCAAGGCCTTTTATTATTTATAATGCTGTACAGTCTGACAAATCAGATGTGATTGTTTTGTTATGCTTAGTTCTACTGAACATAGAGAATGTGCTCAAGATTGCTTTATTTATTGCTTTGAATCAAATCTACAGAGAACTACACATACTTCAAACTCAGGATTCATCAACAAAGAGATACATTAAGACCCTCAAGTGGTCACTTTATTAAACAAATACAAATCTGAAACATTTATGGTAAAATATATCAATTGAACAAAAATGTGTGTAAACAGTGATTCTACAACTGGGAAGATATGTCAGTTTTATTAATTTTGGTGACATCTTCCCAACCATGTCTAATCTTCAGTATCTTCTTCCTCAAGCACGGCAGGCACAGTAGGGCTTTGCAGAACAGGACAACAATCGGAAGGAAGACAGCTATCATAAAAGTCGGAGGTGTGTACCACACAAATTGTTTTATATCTACCCATTTATTCCAGGCAAAAATCAATGCATGTATTGTGCCCAGAAGAAGGGAAACAATTCCTAGCTTGCTCTGCAAAAGAAAAAAAAATGGTGGGATTGGTTCAGTGAGAGTTTATTCCATCCTACCTCATCTGTTCTGTTGCTTGGAAATTCCATCTGTAATCGTTTCCCTATTAAATTTCTCAACAATGCCCACTCACATCTTTGCATTCTCCTCACACATCCCCACCTCACCCCCTTACGTTGGGTAATGTTTTGTCCACAGGTGATTTAAGTTGAGAAAATTCACAATCAATCTCCTTTCAACCTCAGCTAATCAATAACACCGTCTTTCTTTTCTCTCCATACTTTGTTCATCTGTCTGATGACGTTTATTTTATGGTGCTTTGTCTCTTGAGCATTTGCCTTCATTCTGCCTATCAAGAGACATCTACAGTCGGGGACTTTGACTCATCACAGATTCCCTGCAGAATTAACACAATGATTCGTGCATTTTAGTTGCTCAGTAAATATTAATAGGTTGACTGACGATTAGTGCAAAAATCAATTTGATACCAGTGATCTTTATCAATTATGAAAGCAACCAGAGTAACTGATTCTGATTTTGGTACATGAATACTAAGGTAAATGAGTGTGGCCCATGTTAAAAATCAAACATTCAGGGTCGCCTGGGTGGCTCAGTCATTAAGCGTCTGCCTTCGGCTCAGGTCATGATCCCAAGGTCCTGGGATCGAGCCCCACATCGGCTCCCTGCTCTGCGGGAAGCCTGCTTCTCCCTCTCCCACTCCCCCTGCTTGTGTTCCCTCTCTCGCTGTGTCTCTCTCTGTCAAAAATATAAAGTCTTAAAAAAATAAAATAAAAATTAAAAAAAAATCAAACATCCTGATAAAGTGGAAAAATGCCAACAACTATTTCCACTGTTTACATAACACATAGAGATATGAAGATGTGAAGAAAAATTTCAACTTGTATTGGGATACTTGGCACTATCCAGAAAAAGTTGCTTAAAAATAATTGTTCACCTATGTAATTTTATGGCATTCTGACAATAGCTCTTCTAGATAAGTTTTGACTTCTATTCGCTTTACTGGAAATGGTCATTAGCCTGCCAGAATGAATCCAACTCACAATTATTCAGCAGTAAGCACTCTTAAGCCCCAATGAATACAATCAAAAGCTAAGTTTATATTTTCAAATATCAATCTCCAAGGTAAATCATAGAATAACTAATTCTTGGATTGTAAATGGAAAGTTTCTAGGTTATTAATTGAAAAATATATGTGACTGATTGAAGATTAATTTTACCAAATGTGTACTGTATACTTATCATGGATTAGGTCTTGTGTACACAGTAGAATGGGCTGGGTAGTCAAGATGCAGTGCTTGGATTCCTAATTAAACGTAAAAAGTGATGCTCAGCATATGTGTGACAGGCAGAGCAAATGTAAAAACAATGTATTTAATGAGGAACAGAGAACTCTAATGGCTATCAAGCTAAGCCTACACAATCAGCAAATATTGTGCTTGGAAAATGTGGCACCATTTCTAAGCTCCATTGTAATAATTCAGATGGAGACATGTTTTCCTGCCTAATCAGATGTTCTGGTAAAGTTTCTGTAGGAGTATATGTATAGACATGTAAAAGGGATAGTGGGGAAATGTCTGACTTTGTGGGAATTTCCAAAAATGAGCACCCATAGAAGCTAAACTATGTACTTTAAAAAAATCTCGGCAGTGCTTACGATTAAACTAAATTCATCCTTTGCATCCTGCCAGACACGGATTTCCCATGAGTTCTGGCACACTGCTCTTCTTATGGTGTAATCTACCACTAGGAGATGAACCTCCCTCCGTAAGTCTGAGATAATCTTGAATTCCAAGAATATTGACAAACTTCAAGTCAGTAAGCTACATAAAATGTAAGTTGGAAAAAGCAGTCTTTAAAATTAGATATTAGGGGGCGCCTGGGTGGCTCAGTTGGTTAAGCGACTGCTTTCGGCTCAGGTCATGATCCTGGAGTCCCGGGATCGAGTCCCGCATCGGGCTCCCTGCTCAGCAGGGAGTCTGCTTCTCCCTCTGACCCTCCTCCCTCTCATGCTCTCTGTCTCTCATTCTCTCTCTTGCAAATAAATAAAATCTTAAAAAAAAGAAAATAAATAAATAAATAAAATTAGATATTAGTTGGGCGCCTGGGTGGCTCAGTTGGTTAAGTGACTGCCTTCGGCTCAGGTCATGATCCTGGAGTCCCAGGATTGAGTCCCGCATCGGGCTCCCTGCTCAGCGGGGAGTCTGCTTCTCCTCTGACCCTCCCCCCCTCAATCTCTCTCTTACATAAATAAAATCTTAAAAAAAAAATAAAATTAGATATTAGAATACCTTTGGTAATTAAAACTCCAAATTTCAATGAGAGATGCTTTTTTAAAGGTAGTACCAAGTTGTGTAACTTAAAAGGCGTAAGTAAAATCAGGGGGCAGGCAAAAGGATATTTTTATTTGGGCAGAACGAATAAACCGTGAATATTAAATTCCTCAAATATCACCTGTGGAGTTATTAGGTGGACAGAAAATTGTCTAACAAGTTTCAAAGGTTAGAAATAGTTTTCTTTGAGTAATGCTTTTTATTTGTGTCTAGAAAACACTTCTACTTAGAAGTGATAAGGAAAAATTATCGGGGAGCACCTTTTTGATTGAAACAAGTGTGGGATCTTTGCTACTGGAAAACCATTTGTTATTTTTTATGGGACAAAGTCAATATAGTTGATGTTATTCTAAGCACAGAAAAGATTTGCCTCTCTGAGGGACCAGAGTTATTTGATAGATAATTTACCTGAATATAGTGAAATTCTCTCCATGTCAAAGAATCGCTCACGGATGGAATGGATGTCACAGCCAACAGAGCCAGTATTCCAAGTGCCACAATTCCCAGAGACACATACATTTCCATTCTCCAAACATCATGCTCAATCCAGGCATCTTCTTTGTTTTGTTGGACCTACCAGAGGGTGAAAAGGGGAAAGAAGGAATGCAAACAACATCTTTTTCCGGCAGATGAATCGCCTTCTACATTCCCTCTGTCCACCATGGAGGGCCTGATAACTAGGAGCCTCCACAAATTTGTGACTTTGTTTGTGCATTCTTCTATGAGAAACGACATAGGAGCCCTCAATCTCTTTCCTTGAATGCAGCATTTACATAAATCTGTTTTGCTAATTCATATAATAGTTACTTGCTAGTTAGGATTGTAATGTGCATGCTTGTGTGGTAAATAAGAACAATTAGCATTAAAAAAGGAATCTTGTGAGGGTGGCAGAAGGTTGCTGTGTGGCCCTGTCCATGAACAAAATACGCATTTAAGTTGTTAAAGTTATAGTTTACTATTTTCAACATAAAAAAAAAAATTCCTCCGTGTGAAACTATATATAACCAAGCTCCAATGAAGCGTTATAATAAAACATTGAAAAATGCAGATTACATTCCCGACACAGCATTTCAAAAGAGGTTTGGGGTATTGATATTAAAATAAGAAAGCATTAATTTGTTAGACAATTTAGACTTTTTAGTTTAGTGGTACTTTCAACATCGTCACCCTACCTGTTGATATGCCCAGTTGAGCAACTTGTATCTGTAGGATCGCCTCATTGGATAGGATAAACTATAAAGTGCATGCAGCACAGCAAAAAAGAAACTGAGAAGCCCCAATTGTTTTCTTGTTAACATCCATCTATCCAACCAATGTGGAAATTTCTTATATTTGGTTCCGTTATGAAGCTGTACAATGCCTGCGATCACCCCTGGCAAATAGACTAGCGCCAAGAGGGTGATGGACACCATTGGCAAGACTTTGTTGATGACCAGGATTGGAATTTTATAAAAATACTGTTGGTGGGAAGTTACAAAAGGGTGAATTATTTCCCTCAGGAGAGTGTAAAGGAAAGTCAGGGATGATATGACAGCAGCAATTTTAATTGGCCAGCGCCACATTGGAAAGAGTTCTTGTTTGTGCTGAAGCTCAGAGGGGCAGTCAAATCCATCAAAGTGGGTTGTTTGGTGCATGTGTGAAAACACAGTTCTTTTCAGCATGCTGGTCTCTCCCGAGTCCTTATCCTACAAAGGGAAGAAAATCAACATCTTAAACAAACAATGGGATTTCTCTTCAATGCATTACTTATTTTGCTCATGGTGCTTATCAGTAAAAAATTTTAGGACATTCAGAACCTTGCTTTTGGATACTGATGTAGCACTGATTGAATATGGATTTAGCTATGCTGGGATTCTCCATTAATTTCTGTTGTTTTTCTTTAAGACAAAGGAATACATGCTTTTTTTAAAGACAGAAGATTATCCATGAAAGCTGAGACTGTTGTGTTTCTACCTTGAAGGCATGAAATGGAATAATGTAAGTGGGAAACTAAAATTGAAAAAGGTAAAAAAAATCCAGCAATCTTGGGCAAAAATAACAAAACTTGTATTGTAATGGTTGAATTTGTTTTATAATATTCTTACTGGTAATTGGGCAACTCTCCACAAAGAACTGAGGAGCAAATTCTTCATTAATTCAAGTACAAAGGGTCAGGAATAATACAGTCATTACAGTTATAAAAATATATAATTTCCATCATGCTGTACTTTGATTTTATATTTCTAAAATATCTCATTTCTGCAAGTAATGATTGACAAATACTCTATCAGAAGGTACAAAGGTTATATACATAGTTAAATCCCATAGAGATGATCTATTTCCTAAGAAAGTCATACTTCTTTATCCAGTTGCATTTCTAAGCAGTCAACAATTCACAAAAGGTTATGTTGACTATTTTGTCATTTCCCCAACTGACTGATATACCAGAAAATTAAAAAAAAACAAAACACTTCTATATAAGAACTTAGGATGTTTCATATTGTGCTGCTTTAATGAATTAATTTACTTTTTCACTCAATAGGCTATTCCTCATTTCTTATAGCTCTCTATGTAGAACTGTAACATTTTAATGTTTAATGTGATGTGATTATCTTGTTCATTTCCTCATTTTATGCAGAGAAACCTTAATTCACATAGTTCTCTATAATTTTTGGTGTTTAAAAGTAGCCTCTCAGGCGCCTGGGTGGCTCATTTGGTTAAGCGACTGCCTTCGGCTCAGGTCATGATCCTGGAGTCCCGGGATCAAGTCCCGCATCGGGCTCCCTGCTCAGCAGGGAGTCTGCTTCTCCCTCTGACCCTCCTCCCTCTCATGCTCTCTGTCTCTCATTCTCTCTCTCTCAAATAAATAAAAATAAAATCTTTAAAAAAAAAAAAAGTAGCCTCTTGCCATTTGACTTTTACTTTCAGTGATAAATCACTGTTACATCCAATGCTTTCTCTGGTGGCCCCATTTAGAAGAGAGTTGAGCATGATACATAGGACAGCTTCTGTCATCTCTGCATGTTCAAACAATCTAAGTACAATCAACTGAGATCGATTTGCTGGTTAACGATGAAAAATTATAGAACAGCAAGGAAGATGGTTAACTTGAAAAATGAAAATGGTTTTATTTTATGCACACTTACTTTATAGAATACGCACCTGTAATATCTTATTATTCCTATTAAAATAACTAAAAAAAAATTTTAAAAAGTAACGTTATATAAAATTGTTGCATACACTATCTTTCCTATTAAAATAATTAAGATAAAATACTTTCTGTAAAAACTGCAGTTGACATCATTTGGAAAGGCAAAAAGAGTTTGGAACCGAAAATTTCCACCACTTTTTCAGTCAAATAATGTAGTAAGAAACATTTAATCTTCAGGTGGCACAAAAGTGATTCTTATTCCAAAATTGAATTTATTTGTTTAAACGGTGAATCATCAATCAACTTGATGATCTCTTGGTAACTGCCATAAAGCCTATGAAAAAAATGCATGCTTACAAAACTACTGTTATATGGGCACTGATGACTCTCTTAAGAAACTTAGACCCACAGAAAGTTAGAAGGAATTGGAAGGGCCTTGGAGCTGATCTGGTCCAACCCTCTCATTTTATAGATAAACCAAGACCCAGGATTTTCAGTGACTTATTTGAGGTTATTCAGCTAAGTCCATGACAGTCGTCAAGGTACAATTTCTCTTATATACCACCCTGCACCTTTGCCCATCGCAGTATCAGTGACAGGAATCTGAGTGAAGATACCTGTCAACTGGGTGAAAATCACTGTTAGAACCCTAGGAGATACAGGACAGCATTGAAATTCTGTGTCTAGATTTCAGTGAATTATTATTTTGTATTTTTTTTAAAGATTTTTTATTTATTTATTTGACAGAGAGAGACACAGCGAGAGAGGGAACACAAGCAGGGGGAATGGGAGAGGGAGAAGCAGGCTTCCCGCAGAGCAGGGAGCCCCATGTGGGGCTTGATCCCAGGACCCCGGGATCATGACCTGAGCCGAAGGCAGACGCTTAACGACTGAGCCACCCAGGTGCCCTGATTTCAGTGAATTATTATTAATATATTACCAAGTAATCATCTTCTTCTGGATTTCTCCTAGGCTTCACTGTCCAAAGTTCTTCTTGGTTTGTAATATCTTGTCTGCTCTCCATTAATTCTGTAAAATAGAATAGCGTCAGCCATGGAAATGAGAAATAAACATCATTGTCTTCTTCACGTCTATGCTATTTAAGAAATTAATGTTTGATAGGGCAATAGAAAAATCTACTTACATAAGGACTAGAGTGGCCTAGAAAGTACAATTAAAATAGTGACTGATTTACCATTTAACCTCACATAATCTGTCGGAATCTCAAACCATGCCCTTGTGTCAATAATAACAGCTTTGCTTTGTCCAGCTATTGGTGCAATGAATGACAGACTGTCTATATGGAATTCAAAGGGTCAGATGTTGCCTTTTATTTTAGGAGAAGTTAACTCCAGGTGCTCAGTTAGAGGAAAGCCAACTCTGCTCAAAGGTAAATTGAATTAGGAATGCATTTTTTTGGGTAACAATGTTATCAGTAGGAGTTAGCTGATGTAAGATTATACTTTAGGAAGTTGTAGTTGATAGACTTTTGGGGTTGATATTGGAATCTGAAATAATAATTAAATGATTTTATGGGGAAATGTATTCTGACACTCTTGGTAAGGTGGACCCTGATAGTGGTATAAAGGACCAAAAGGCTGTATTTTCAGAGTGCCATTTTCTCATCAGAGTAACAGACTGGTTTTTGTTGGTAAGACATGAATTGTTAGTACAGTTCCAATGGAGTTGTTGAGTTGTGTTCAGTCACAGACTGCCTATTCTCCTGGTCAACCCTGTGGAAATTAGTTTTGTCAAACTTACTACCTGACAAAGTATTCTTTGCCTTAACACGCTTCACAGATCCTCCTAAGGCTTGGTGTAGCATTTTTTTAAAGGAAGGGAACATATGATATCACAATATTATTCACTGTTTTCATTAGTTCTAAATCTATTTCTAGAGGAATACCTCGCCAATTTGCACTTTATGAAATTCAATGAGAAAAACAGATTAGATATACAACAACTTGATTATCAGAAACATTCCAAGTGTTTCTGAGTTTTAGAACACCTGTAACACTTTACCAAGTGGAAAGTTGTTTCCAGGAGTAGCTTAAAATAGTTAAAACATTCTCCAAATTTAAATGATTTTCTCAAAAAATAAAGAGGAGCCATCTTTATATAATGCCAACCATTTGCCTTTGTTCACGTGCTCGGAGAACATTTTCCATATATTATCTATTTTGAAATTGTGCAACATTCACACTGAGGATATTTGTTTTGGTCTGCCCACATTTTCCCCCTACTTTTAAAAATTTTTTTTTTTATTTTTAATCACCATACATTTCATCATTAGTTTTTGATGTAGTGTTCCATGATTCATTGTTTGCGTATAACACCCAGTGCTCCATTCAATACGTGCCCTCTTTAATACCCATCACCA